GTACCTTATATAAAAAATTTTAAAAACAAACAAAAAAACACCTTAATGGGCATGTGTACATGCTTACTCCAAATCCTGTAGGGTTGGAGAAATGAAGTGATTGATGTGAGAATATGCTCCACTGGTGTGGGATGCTTTCTCCCTCTCTCTGTTGAATGCATATAATCTCTGGCAATTAAAACAAATATTATTTTTAAGTGTATATTTCTAGGCTCTCTTCCCAACCTTTTTACCCCTGACTGAGTATATATGAAGTGGGACATGGGCATTCATATATACATGGTTTTTCATTTTATGGTCTTTGGATCCATGGAATCTGATTCTGTAGATCTGACATTATTTTTCAAAGCTTTAGAAATGATTTTAATGCATATTGTTAGCCTATTTTTTTTTTTGGAGAGATTTTTGCTATAGGGCGCGTGCACTCGCCAGAAAGACAGAGACAGAGAGACAAAGCAAGATATCACCCCCTGGGGGGATGGCCACGCCGCAATCCCTTCTCCTACTTTCTCCTCTCAGGATCTTGGGTGCACACGCACCCGGCGTGGGTTTTAAGCCACCGTGTCCAGGACTTGAACCGTGGTCGACTACATGGGAGTCCAGTGATATAGCCATTACTCTAACTGAACAGCCATTACTCTAACTGCTGGTCCCAGTTTTTTTTTTTTTTTTTTTTTTTTTTTTAAGATTTTATCCATAGAATGCCTATACTTGAAAGAGAAACAGTAAGAGGAAAAGTGAGAAATTATCTCTCAGGTGAATGGTCATGCCATAATCCCTTCTTCTCCATTCTCTTCCTGGTATTGTGAGCATGTACACATGCTCCCAGCATGATTTCCTAGCAAGCTATCAGGACTTGAACTGCAGTCAGCCATGTAGGAGTCTAGTACTTTAACTATTATGCTACCTCCTGGCCCCTGTTTTCAGCATTTTAATAGGATCTGGCCGTATTAATTACCTGTGTGTCCTTCACCATACAGCTAGATAGATGGTTATGATGCCTGTCATTATTTTGTGCCACACGTTGTGCTTTCATGAGTGCTGCTACCATCCTCTGGTTCTTAGTTTTGTTGTTGTTGTTGTTGTTCATTGTTGTTTTAACATTTCTATGGGGGACCAGCAGTTGGCATCACGGCTATGTCGCTGGATTCCCATGTAGTGGACCTCAGTTTGAGTCCTGGACCTGATGGCTTAAAACTCAAGCCATGTGCTTGTGTATGCGTTCAAAATCCTGAGAGGAAAATGGAGGAGAAGGGATTGCGGTGTGGCCATCCCCCCTGCGGAGTGATTTCTCACTTTCTGTCTCTCTGGCAAGTGCACGCGCCCTATTGCAAAAACCTCTCAAAAAAAAATTTTTTTTAAGTGAATAATTTCTTCTTATGTTTCCTCAATATTCCTTTAAGTAGATTACAGTTTTATATATGGTTTTGTGACTTTTAAGTAACACTCCTACTTTATTCTTTCTTTCTTTCTTTCATTCTTTTTTTTTGGTTGTTGTTGAGAGCAATTTTTGCTACAGGGTCCATGCACTTGCCAGAAACACAGAGAGACAGAATGTGTGAACCCCCCCCCGGGAGATGGCCATGTCATGATCCCTTCTCCTTTAATCTCCTCCTGGGATCCTGAGCACACATGCACACGCACCCAGTGGAGTTCCAACCTGCTGGGTCTGGGACTCGAACCTCGGCTGACTATGTGGGAGTCCACTGACGTAACCATTGCACCATCCACTGGTCCCTAGTCCTTCTTAAAATTATACCTAAGATTGTGTCATTAACATTTTGAGCATCCCAAATTCTGCTGTATGTATTTACAGATTCCCAAAAAGATTTAATTGTGACCTATTAACTCTCAGATGGTCACTTTATTTTTTCATTGTCATGTTCTTGGGGGCATATTACTGTTGTATGATATTCTAACAACAGCAGTAAAAACCACCAAGGTAGTCTGGGAATATTTTTTGTTACAGGGTGCTTGCGCTCACAAGAAAGATATAGACAGAAGGAAAGTGAAAAATTATATAGCAATAACCTCTCAAAAAAAAAAAAAAAAAAAAACTGGTCCCAGAGAGGTTAGCCACACCACAGTCCCTTCTCCATTCTCCTTTTGGGATTTTGGGCATGCACACACACACTCCCTGTATGCTTTTCAAGCTACCAAGTCCAGGACTCAAACTGCACAGTTGGCCCTGTGAGATCCTGTGCATTATCTACCACTCTGCTAGCTGTCCTTAAATTTTGAATAGTTAGAATAATTTGTCCAGTCTTAGTCTCAGAGTCTGGACTGATCTCACATGTTCTCAGTCCTACTCACATTTTAGTTATCATTAGTCATCAGCAAGTTTTAGTGGTTTAGGAATAAGTATATCATGTATTCTGGAAAGTGTCTAACCATATACTTGTATGTTTGGGTCAGAGTTCACTAGGACATATGAAACTCTTAATCTTTATTTTTTTTAAATTGTCAGTGCATATTCTCTCTCTGTGTGGTAGGGGTGTCATCCATCAGTGGGGCAAAGTCATGCTGCCCTCCCTTCTCCATGTCTTATCTCATAGTGAATTGGGCACACATACATATGGGCCTGACCTGTTTATTTTTGTTCGTTTTACTGGAGAGGTTTTTGCTATAGGGCATGTGCTCTTGCCAGAAAGACAGAGACAAAAAGCAAGAAATCACTCCCCGGTGGGGGTGATGGCCATGCCACAATCCCTTTTCCTCTCTTCTCCTTCTGGAATCCTGGACACACATGCACATGTGACCGGTGTTAGTTTAAGCCACTGGGTCTGGGACCCGAACCACAGTCGACTACATGAGAGTCCAGCAACATAACCATTAGGCCAACTGCTGGTCCCTGCCTGGCCTGTTTTTCAAGTTGTTCAGCCCAGAATTTGAACTCTGGTCGCCACGTGGTATCCATTTCCCTTAATAACTAGGCTATGGGGCCAGCATCGTAACTTTTGGGGAAAAAAAAAAAATATATATATGTATATATATAAACAGAAAATTATATATGTGTGTGTATTGTTTTGTTTTTAAAACCACCTGGAAATTATAGAGCTTTGTAAATATCCTATAATATCTTCTGTGGTAGCAGAAAGTTTTTTTTTTTTTTTTTTTTGAGAGGTTATTGCTATAGGGCGTGTGCACTTGCCAGAAAGGCAGAGAGACAGAGAGACAGAAAGCGAGAAATCACCACCCCCCAGGGGGGATGACCACGCCACAGTCCCTTCTCCTCCATTCTTCTCCTGGGATCTTGGACACGAACGCATACGTGCCCAGTGTGAGTTCAAGCTACCGGGTCCAGGACTTGAACCATGGTAGACTACATGGGAGTCAGTGACACAGCCGTTATGCCAACTGCTGGTCCCGAAAATTTCTTAATTAATATATGCTTAATTGTTTTCTGAATTTCTTGTTTATCCTCTGCTGCTACCAAAATGATGGGGTTTTTTTGGAGAGGTTTTTGCTGTAGGGCACATGCACTTGCCAGACAGAGACAGAGAGACAGAAAGCGAAAATCACCCCCCAGGGGGGATGGCCATGCCGCAATTCCTTCTCCATTCTCCTTTCTGGATCTTGGGCACGCACATACACGCGCCTGGCGTGAGTTTTAAGTCATCAAGTCTGGGACGTGAACCTCGGTTGACTACATGGGAGTCTAGTGACATAGCCATTACGTTAACTGCTGGTCCCCCAAAATGATGTTTTTAAAAGCATAAATTGATCACATCACTTCTTTGTGTGAAAGGCCTCAGTGTCTTCACATTCCCTTTAGGACAGTACTCTAATTATTTACATTTTTTTGTAAGGCTGCCCGATTTTTCTCTAGTATATATATATATATTTTAATTACTTATTTAAATTTATTTATCATTATTATTCTTTTTTTAAAATTTGCTACAGGGCACATATCCTCATCAGAGAGAAAAAGAGAATATGAAAAAGCAAGTTGTCAGATCTTGGACTCAAACCAATTCATTACCTGCTGTCCCCTCTAACCCATATATTTGAATGTATAACTTTTATTTGCTCTGCTCTTTAATGTTTCTATTTCCTCACTTGCTATACTTTTTAGAATTTTATTCCTGGGGCCAGCAGGTAAATAGTGGTTGGGGTGTTTGGCTCCCATGTGGTTTAGTGCTATTCAAGTCCCAGACCCTGCAGCTTGAAATTTACACAGAGCACTTATGCGTGCCTACACCAAATCCCAAGAGGAGAATGGAGGAGAAGGGATTGTGCTGTGGCCATCTCTCCAAGGGGTGATTTCTTGCTTTCTGTCTCTTTGACAAGTGCATGTACCCTATACAAAAATACTTTTTTTTTTAAAGGACAACTACATGTTTGTTTGTTTGTTTGTTTTTAAAAAAATAACTATTTTTTATTTATTCATTCGTTGATTTTTTTAATTTGACCAGAGAAAGACAGGGTGAGAGTGAGAGAGAGAGGAAGTGAGAAAGCAAGCCACCAGGTCCAGGACTCGAACCTTGGTCTGCCATGTGGGAGTGTCCAGTGCCTTAACCACCACGCCACCCGCTGGTCCTGCAAAAATATCTTAAAAAATTTTTTTTATTCCTTACCCTTCTTTGTCAGGGGAACTCCCTTTCATTCTTTGAGACTCAGTTTACGTTGCTTTCAGTTGAGAGAATCTTGTTTTAAAATCTTTTTCCTTTCAGTCAGATTTGATTGCCTTTTCTCTTTGTTGCCATAGAGTCTTATAATAGCACTTTTGTTGTAATTCTCTGTTTATAAGTCTGCCTTCTCTACCAGCTGCTGAACTCATTGAAATCAAGGACTGTGTATTTAATTATGTAAGTTCTGTTTTGTTCCACAGAGGTGTTGTGATAAAAGCATTATCTTATCTTTGTACCTTCTTTTTGCAGTATCTGCTACATAGTAGGTGTTTCTCTACCTTCCCCCAGAATAAATGAATTGATTGAGGGTGAAGAGAGCAGATTAATTCTGATGAGTTTTTTTTGTTCTTTTTTTCTATTTTTTTTTAGGTTACCAAAAGGGATGAAGACTCCTCTCTGATGCAGCTGAAGGAGGAATTTCGGAGTTACGAGGCATTACGCAGAGAACATGATGCCCAGATAGTTCATATTGCTATGGAAGCAGGGCTCCGTATTTCACCTGAGCAATGGTCCTCACTTTTATATGGTGACTTGGCTCACAAATCACACATGCAGTCTATCATTGATAAGGTTTGTGAAATTAGAGTTACTGATTTTACACCTTTGTTGTTGCATTGAAGAGTATTAAAATATTCTAAAAGGGCTAAAGAAGAGTATTAAAATATTCTAAAAAGGGCTAAAGACGTTGGAGACTCTTTCTTGTTTTTAAGTATCAGACTCTTAATAAATTACCTTTATTTATTTATTTATTTATTTATTTATTTATTTATTGCTTTTTATCATTTTTTTTTACTTTAAAAATAAATCCCCTAGGGATATAACCGAGAAGCAAACACAGAATATTATTAATAGAATAAAAGTAATTAGTCCTACAAAATCACAAGTTCACATTTTGACATCAGAGAGCTAACACAACTTAAAATTAAGTTTTCTAAGTGTCTGATGATGAATTTCATAGGGCAGATTCTGAGGTGAAAACTTAATTCATCATTGATCCTCCTACTATGGAATCTGAAGACACTTGAAAGCATGTTAATAAGTCTGTTGACTGAAATAATTTGAATGTAGATGTGTCATACTAACTAGAGAAAAAAACATTCTCTTTTCTGTTAGCTGCAGTCTCCAGAATCATTTGCAAAGAGTGTCCAGGAACTGACAATTGTCTTGCAACGAACAGGTGACCCAGCTAACTTAAATAGACTGAGGCCTCATTTAGAGCTTCTTGCAAACATAGACCCTAATCCAGGTTTGTGGTAAAACATTTCAGTTGCTTATATACTTTTTCTGTCTTTGAAATAAATAGCACAAGAGAATTACTCCTAACAAATTCTTCCCCCAACCTCATCCACCTCCTTGGTGACTTATTTTAGATGCTGTTTCACCAACTTGGGAGCAGCTAGAAAATGCAATGGTAGCCGTTAAAACAGTGGTTCATGGCCTCGTGGACTTCATACAAAATTACAGTAGAAAAGGCCATGAGACACCTCAGGTAAGTAAATTTATTGTACTTCTGACTGCTGTTATCAACACAGTTTGATCTTTTTTTTTTTTGGAGAAATTTTCACTATAGGGCACATGCACTCGCCAAACAGAGACATAGAGACAGAAAGCAAGAAATCACCCCCACAGGGGGGATGGTCATGCCGCAATCCCTTCTCCATTCTCCTCTCGGGATCTTGGGCACGCACACATACACGCCCGGCGTGAGTTTTAAGTCACCGAGTCCGGGACGCGAACTGCGGTCGACTACGTGGGAGTCCAGCGACATAGCCATTACGCTAACTGCTGGTTCCCTCTAACACAGTTTGATCTTGAACATCTTACCAAGTTTAGTTAATGGGCTCTTTAGGTGACTATCTTGTCTCATAAGGATTTTTTTTTAAGAATTATTTATTTTATTTATTATTATTATTTTATTTTGACCAGAGAGAGACACAGGGAAGGAAAGTGAGAAAGCAAGCCACCGGCTCTGGGACTCGAGTTATGGTTGGCCTTGTGGGAGTCCAGCACTTTAACCACCATACTACCTGCTGGCCCTGTCTCATAAGTTTTTAATTGTCTCTGTTCTTTTCAGAAAAACTCAGTGTTTAGTAAACTTGGTAAGTATTCCCTACTGTAAGAGTGAACTTGCATCCTTATCTTGGATCCTTAACTTAAACCTTATCTTAGATAAGGACCCAAGATATTGCAAAATGTTTTTTTTTGTTTTTGTTTTTTGTTTTTTTTGAGAGGTTTTTGCTATAGGGCGCATGCGCTTGCCAGACAGAGAGACAGAAAGCAGGAAATCACCCCCCAAGGGGGGTGGCCACGCCGCAATCCCTTCTCCTCCATTCTCTCTCGGGATCTTGGGCATGCACGCACATGCGCCCGGCGTGAGTTCTAAGCCACCCGGTCCGGGACGCGAACCACGGTCGACTACCTGGGAGTCCAGCGACATAGCCATTACGCTAACTGCTGGTCCCGCAAAATGTTTTTGACCAAGTATAGATAATTTATTCCTTTTAGACATTTTATCTTAACTCTTCTACTATGAGAAATTCACCGAATATTTTCAATGTACTTTAGAAGAACTTAAGTTATAGTTTTCTTTTTTTTCTTTTAGTTTTTGCTATAGGGCACATTCACTCACCAGAGAGAGAGAAAGAGAAGGAAAGTGAGAAAGAAAGTGAGAAATCACCCCCTGGGGGGATGGCCACACCGTGATCCTGACTCCATTTTTCCTCTTGAGATTTTAGACATGCAACACATATGGCAGGCGGGGTTTTCTTTTTTTTTTTTTTTTTTCTTTTTTGTTTTTGCTTTAGGGTGCATGCGGGGGAGACAGACACAAGTGAGAGGGAAAGTGAGAAATCACCCCTCACAGGTGATTTCATAATTCCTTTTTCATTTTCTTCCCTGGATACTGGGCATGCACACACATGTACCCAGCTTGTTTCAAGCCACCAGTTCTGGGACTTGAACTGTAGTTGGCCATGTGAGAGTTCAGCAGCATAACCACTGCACCATCTGCTGTTCTCATGCCTGGTGTGTTTTAGAGCCACTGGATCTAGGATTCAAACTGCACAGTTGGCCATATGGAATCCATCCACCTTAACCACTACACCACTGGCTGGCCCAAGTTGTAATTCTTTTTAATTTTTGTTTTAAGTGTGTTTTTACTTACTTCTTCCATGATAGAGGGAGACTGAGAGAGAGAAAGGCATCCCCAACAAGGTCTTCACACTGTGATCCTATCCTAGGCCTCAGCCAGACTAGAACATGGACACATATCTGTGCTTGCATAAGGAGACTTTGAGACGCAAACCCAGGACCTTTCCTTGTGGCCTCAGGATTATGGTGTTAACTGCTGTGCCACTGTCCCTGGCCAAGATAAACTCTTTTCTTTGATAATCTTCGTTTATTAAGTTACTTAGGGCCAGTCCTTGTGTTCAGTATTTTATATGTATTATTTTAATCCTCCTAGGCACCTGTAGGGTAATTGCTATTTCTAAGCTGAATTTAAAGAGATTATATAATGTGTGTAAGGTTATGTTGTCAGTAAGTGATGGAGCTGGGATTAAACCTCCAAAGTCTGCGATCTTTCCACACTCCTCTTACTCTATTCAAATATTAACCTAAAGATAAATTCTGTCAGGGTCATAAAGATAAGAATAATATCTCGGATTCAAATTATGGTATTTTTTAAAGAATTATTTTATTTAACTTTATTTATTTATATGTTTATTTTAATTTGACCAGAGATGGACAGAGTGAGAGCAAGAGAGAAAGCAAGAAAGCAAGCCACCAGGTCCAGGACTCGAACCATGGTTGGCCATATGGGGCTCCAGTGCCCTTAACCACCATGCCACCTGCCAGCCACATAAGCAGCTTAATGGTAAGAAAGAGAATTGTACTCTCAAGTTGACAAATGAATTGGTAATTTTTCAGTTTCAGCTGAAATTGGATTCTATCTTTCATAGGAAAAAATTTAAGTGAACAAAGTTCATGACTTTTACTAGTGCTTTTTAAAATGACTTGATTTTGGGACCAGCAGATGGGCGTAACAGTTACATCACTGGACTCCCACAAAGTTGACAGCAGTTCTAGTCCCAGACCTGGTGACTTAAAACTCATGCCAGGCACTTCTGTGTACATGTGCAAAAACTCCCAAGAGGAGAATGGGAAGGGGATGGCGGCATGGCCATTCTCCCGAGCGGTGATTTCTCACTTTGTCTCTTTTTTTCTCTGTCTCACCAGCAAGTGTACGTGCCCTATAGCAAAAAATCTCTCTTTAAATTAAAAAAAAATGACTTGATTTGGAAGTTAGCTGGATTCCACATGGCTGGCTGTGCCGTTTGAGTCCTGGACCTGATGACTTAAAAACACAATGGGTGGAGCCATTGAGTGCCATGTTAGTTAAGGAACTGGATGTAGACTTGCCAACCGCAATTCAAGTCCCTGACCTGGTGGCTTGCTTTTTTGCTTTCCTCACTCTGTCTTGATAAGCACATGTGCTGTACAGCAAATTAAAATAATAATAGTAATAATTTAATTACATAAATAATTTTTAAAAAAAAACACAGAAAAAGCATACCAGCTAAACAGGGGCATGTGTGCTCAAAATTCCAAGTGGAGGGACCAGCAAGTGGCATAATGGTTATGTTACTGGACTCCCACATGGCTGACCATGGGTGGCTTAAAACATGCCAGGGTGTGTACATGTGTGCCTAAAATCCCAAGGAGAATAGAGGAGATGGAAGTGTGGTGTGGCTATCCCCTGAGGGGAGATTTCTTGCTTTCTGTCTCTCTGACTTTCCTATTAGAGCATGCATGCTATAGCAAAAATTTCTCTGAAAAAAAATTTTAAATTCCAAGCAGAGAGAATGGAGAAGAAGGGATTGTGGCATGGCCACCTGGACGATACTTTCTCACTTCCTTCCCTCCATCTCTCTCTGGCAAGTGCACATACCCTATAGCAAAATTAAAGAAAAAAAAAATTGTAGGGACCAGAAAATGGTGCAGAAGTTAATGCAGTGGAATCCTACATGACTGACTCCACAGTTTGAGTCCTAGAACCTTGAAAATCATACCAGATATGTGTCTGTGTGTATGCCCAGAATTACAAGAGGAGAATGGAAGAGAAAGGATTGTGGTGTGGCCCTCCCCCTCAGCGGGTGATTTCTCACTTTCTCTGTTTTTGGTGAGCACATGTGCCCTATAGCAAACTGAAAAAATATATAGATAAAAATGTTTGACTTTGGTATCAGAATTTTAAAACAGCAATAGGTAGATAAAATCTTTTCTTTTTATGGGCATTGTATTGCCTGACAAATGAATGGACAGAACATTTAAATCAATTTCAAATAATCTCCAGAAGTGACTTAATTGCCAATTTAGGGTTATGCCACAGAGCTCACAATAGGAATCAATAGAATGGTGATCATTTTACCACAAAAATTACTTGTCTAAATTTGAAAAAGAATGAATGGTGTAATCAGAAGGTTTTGAAGTCTAACGTATTAATAAGTAGAATATTCAATCGTATGCCCATTGAATATTTTCTTTTTTGTAGCCTCAGCCAAACAGCAAATACAAAACTAGTATGTGCCGAGATCTCCGACAGCAAGGAGGGTGTCCACGGGGAACGAATTGTACATTTGCCCATTCTCAAGAAGAGCTTGAAAAGTAAGTTTTGGTAATCCTCTTTCATATGGTTTTAATTTCTAACCATAATGGGAAGTGTCACAGACAGTTCTAGAATTGGTGATGAGTTTTAAAACAAGTAAGTTCACATTATAGCATTCTTTTTTTTAAATCAAGTTCTTTTTTTAAGAACTTCTTAATTAATTAATTAATTTATTTATTTATTATTTTTCAGTTTGACCAGAGAGAGACAAAGAGAGAAAAGAAATGTGAGAAAACAAGCTGCCAGGTCTGAGACTCAAACCACATCAGCTATGTGGGAGTCCAGCACCTTAAGCACCATGCCACCTGCCAGCCCCTATAGTGTTCTGCCAGCCCCTATAGTGTTCTTTTTTTCTTTTTTCTTTTTTTGAGAGGTTTTTGTTATAGGGTGTGTGCGCTTGTCAGAAAGAGATAGAAAGCGAGAAATCATCACCCAGGGGGGGATGGCCATGCCACAATCCCTTCTCCTCCATTCTCCTTTTGGGATCCTGGGCATGCATGCACACGCGCCCAGCGTGAGTTTAAGCCACAAGGTCTGGGACTTGAACCACGGTCAACTACATGGCCATTACACTAAATGCTGGTCCCATAATGTTCTTTTAAATGGCAAAGTAACCTTTCCTTTTCATACCATAAGAAGATTAATCTGGGTGCAAGATTAACATAATAAGTGATTAGAATCTCATTCAAGGGTTATATATATATATTTTTTTTTTTTTTTTTTTGGGGGGGTTTTTGATATAAGGGCGTGTGTGCACGCCAGACAGACAGACAGAGAAATAGAGACAGAAAGCATCACGCCGCAGTCCCTTCTCCTCCATTCTCCTCTCGGGATCTTGGGCACGCACACACACGCACCCAGCGTGAGTTTCAAACCACCGGGTCCGGGATGCAAACCGGGGTCGACTACATGGGAGTCCAGCGACATAGCCATTAGGTTAACTGCTGGTTCCCCAAGGATTATATTTTGAGAGCATTTTATGGTGAAATGCATGTTTTTTACTACTACCTGTGAAGAATGAAAATATCCCTGTGTTTTGTTGTATTGAGTCATGGGAATAGTCATGACGTGTTTTTTCATTGAAAAACAGAAAAAATACATTATAGGGGCCAGCTGGTGGCGTTCTGGTTGAGGCGCTGTCCATTAGGAGAATCAGATTCCACATGCTGACCGTGTTTCAAGTCTTGGTCCAGGCAGCTTCAGGGTCATGTGGGATATGTGTGTGTGTGTGTGTGTGTGTGTGTGTGTGTGTGTATGCTTGTGTGTAGGGCTAGGATCCCAGCAGCATGGAGAGATAGAGAAAGAGGGATTGTAGGTGACTGCACTCCATTAGGGAATGTTTTCCGCCTTTCCCTCTCTGTCTGTCTGTCTGGGTGAGTGCATGTGCTCTCTGACAATTATTAAGCACACACACAACTACTGTTGCCCACCCCTGTCTCCCATTATTTCCTGCAAAATGGAGAGAAATCTTTTAAAACTACAAATCGAGTCTCGGACCTGGTGTCTTGCTTTCTCACCTTCCCTCTCTCTCTGCATCTTTCTGGTCAAATTAAAAAATAATAATAATGGTCTGGCAAGTGGCATAGTGGTATGGTACCAGACTCCCACATGGCTGGCCATAGTTTGAGACCCAGTTCTGGCACCTTGCTTGTTTGTGCTCTCTCTACCTCTCTGACTGTCTCTGGTCAAATTGAATAATAATAAGTAGGGACTGGCAGTGGTGTGGTGGTTAAGGGTGCTGGATTCCCACATGGACAACCATGGTTCAAGTCCCAGACCTGGCGGCTTTCTTTCTTTCTCTTTTCTCTGTCTCTGGTCAAGTGAAAAATTAATAATAACAAATGGAATTAAATAAATACATAATTTTTAAAGAAATAATGATAAAATTAAATAAATAATTATTTTTAAAAGTATAAATAAAATTAAATAAAAAAAAAAAGAAGGACCCACAGATGGTTTAGTGGTTGTGTTGCTTGACGCCCATGTCGTTGATCATGATTCAAGTTCTGGACCTGACAACTTGGGACTCACGGTAGTCATATGTATGTGTGTGGCCAGGATCCTGAGTGGATAGTGGAGGAGAGGGGATTACAGCATGGCTACCACCACCACTCCTGGGGAGGTGTCTAGGTGACTTCTCTCTTTCTGTCTCTCTGTCCCTCTCTAACTATCCAGCAAGTGCATAGGCCCTATAGCAAAAATCTGTCAAAGAAGAAAAAAAAGTCATTTTTTTTAAAGCTTAAACCCCTTTTTTTATGTCGATATAGATATAAAAATAAACTGATTTAAGCTTTAATACATACTAAATAATTTTTGTTGTGTCATTTTGTATACTGAACTTTCAACATTGATACTTCATCAGAAAATTGATCTCTGTCTTTTCACCAAACCACTGGCCTATTTATTGGGTTTTTGGAGAAGTCATGACCTAATTTTTCTATGGTTTTCTTTGCAAAATGTGTCATGAGTTTTCTGACAACCCAATATCAACTCTTATTGGATATCACTCTTTTTGTTGTTGTTATTGCTATAGGGCACTTGTAATCACTGGAAAGAGAAGGAAAGTAAGAAATCACTCCCTGGTGGGATGGCCACATTGCAGTTGCTTCTCTTCCATTCTGTTCTTGGGATTCTTGGGCATGCATACACGCTGCTGGTGTGTTTTTCAAACCGCCTGGTCTGGGACTTGAACTGCGTAATTGCCATGTGGGGTCCAGTACCTTAACCACCACACCACTTGCTGGTCCACTGTTTTGTTTTTAGATTCTTTAAACTCAACTTGTGCCTATTTTCTCCTCTTGTTTAACCTCCTTTACCCTCCATTCCGCTCTCCCTCTCTGTACCTGTCAAACCAGTTATATGTGCCATGTTATAAGAAATGTCTATATTATCTGTCCTCCCTTTTGCTTTTCTGCTTAATCTTTACCAACTTCTGCCATTTTGGTTTTCTATGTATTTCTCAACTTCTTCATTCATTCTCATAGTCCAAATTATTATCCCCTTGCCTGATGCATAGTGACTTTCCTTTTTTAAAAAAAAAAAAAAATTATTTAATTTTATTTAATTATTTATTTAATTTTTTATTTATTTATTTAATTATTTATTTATTTATTTAATTTTATTTAATTTAATTTGGCCAGAGAGAGAGCGAGAGAAAGCATGAGAGAGAGAGAGAGAGAGAGAGAGAGAGAGAGAGAGGTGAGAAAGCAGGTCACCAGATCCAGGACTCAAACCATGGTCGGCCATGTGGGAGTCCAGCACCTTAAGCACCATGATACTTGCTGGTCCCCAGCACAGTGGCTTTCTTTTTTTTTTTTTTGAGAGGTTTTTCCTATAGGATGTGTGTGTTGGCCAGAAAGACAGAGACAGAAAGTGAGAAATCACCCCCCAGGGGGGATGGCCACGCTGCAATCCCTTCTCCTTTATTCTCCTCTCAGGATCTTGGACACGCGTGCACACACACACACGGCATGAGTTTAAAACCACCAGGTCCGGGACTTGAACTACAGTCGACTACATGGGAGTCCAATGACATAGAAATTATGCTAACTTCTGGTCCCCACAGTGGCTTTCTGATTAGTCTTTCATCTCCTTATGCCGAGGGCCGACCCTGTTGCCTCGTGGTTAGGGAACCAGAAGGGATTGTGGGTGACTGCACTCCATTAGGGAATGTTTTCCTCCTTTCCCTCTATGTCTCTCTTGGTGAGTGCATCGGCTCTCTGACAATCTTTTTTTTTTTTTTAAGAGGTTTTTGCTATTGGACGCGTGTGCTTGCCAGACAGACAGAGAGAGAGAGACAGAGAGACAGAAAGGGAGAAATCACCCCCCAGGGGGGATGGCCACGCCGCAATCCCTTCTCTTCCATTCTCCTCTCAGAATCTTGGGCACGCACGGACATGCACCCGGCGTGAGTTTTAAGCCACCGGCTCCAGGATGCAAACCACGGTCGACTACGTGGTAGTCCAGCAACATAGCCATTACGCTAACTGCAGGTTCCTCTGACAGTTATTAAGTGCACGTACACACACACACACACACACACACACACACACACAGAATCTACTTTTGCCCACCCCCGTCTCCTATTATTTCCCACAAAATGGAGAGAAATCTTTTAAAACCACAAATCTATTCACATCACTCCTCTGCACTTAAGTCTTTGATAGTTTCTCATTGCTCTGTGGATATAAACTAAGTTATGGCCTGTAAGACCTGCGTCACCTAACCTACCTATGCCTACCTTTCTTATCTTACCACACTCCCTAATAATGCTCTATACTCAAGCTACACTGACCTTTTTCAGCTTCTGTAATGTACTGTGCTCCTTCTTCACATAGTGCTGTTCCATCTAGATTTTTCTTTGGGGCTTTTCCTTTTCCTAATTCTTCCTTCACTTTTTCAAGAAACTCCCCCACTCCCCCACAAACTTCATAGCAACCAAATTCCTCTTTGTTACCCTTACCACAATTATAATTCATTATGGTCTGCTTTAGAGGTTGACAAACTTCTTTGAAATTCACATGATATTTTTGGCTTGTGAGCCATATAATCTGTTATAACTACTCAACTCTGCCATTATAACAAAAAAGGAGCCATAGACAATGCATAAAATGAGCATGACTAAACTTTATTTACAAAAGGAAGCAAGTTTGACCCAAAGGCTAGCCTGACCCATTATCTGTTTATTGAATTTTAGTTTACCCAAGTGTAAGTTCCATGGACTAGATCTATCTTTCTGCAGTGGCTAGCACTGCATTCTGCACATAATAAGCATTATAGCAGCAGCAATATTATAGAAGATGTGTGTTCATGCAGTAAAAGAAGAGCAGCAATATGCTTTTCTTCTGTCTCTTTTTTTTAATGTGAAGAGCCTAAAGAGGCTGCAGGAGTCCTAAGGGGTAAAAAAGATGTTCTTTATACTCAGTCTGACTAGCTCTATATAGAGAATTTCACATCGAGATAATTTTTAAGACTGTAGAAGATATATTCAATTTTTGGATAACTGAAATATAACCTTTTAGCCAAAATAGAGCTTTCAGAGGACCTTGCTTTGGGAGCAATTAAACTTTAAAAAAAAAAGAAGAGAGATTGTGTAGTTTCATTGCCATTGCACCAGTAGCTGGTACTCCATTTGAAAATCCATTTTACCACTAATATCTTCAAGCTAGCTCCCCATTCTCCATGTCCAGTTAGTCCAGTTATCTTATTCAGAATGTTATTGTTTCCTGCCAGAACTTATGACAATAGTAGTAATAAATAACAATAATAGTCAAATCAGTTGGTCACATTTTTGCCCCAGGCATCATTTTTAGTATTGCACATAGTGGGGCCAGCAGGTGGCGTAGTGGTTAAGGTGCTAGATTATAGCATGTCTGACGAGGATTTGAATCCTGGACTCAGTGACCTGAAAATCACGCCGGGTGAGTGAGCGCACATGTCCAAAATCCTGAGAGAAAAATGGAGGAGAAGGTATTGCTGTGTGGCCATTCCCCTGGGGGAGTGGGTGGGGTGTGATTTCTCACTTTTCCTCTGTCTGTTTCTCTCTGGTGAACACATGTGCCCTATGATAAAACCTAAAAAAAAATAAAATGTATTTTACATATTAATTCACTTTTTTATGTCTTTTAAAAGACTGTTTCCATGGCTTTTTATCCTGTGTGTCAACCTATTTTCCATTTCTACCAAGATTTTCTTTATAAAATACTTGTCTAACTATGCCCATCTTCTGCTTTAACTTTTTTTTTAAGAATTTTTTTATTGGGACCAGCAGTTAGTGTAATGGCTATATTGTTGGACTCCCATGTAGCCGACCATGGTTCGAGTCCCGGGCCCGGTGGCTTAAACTCACGCCGGGCATGTGTGCGTGCGTGCCCAAGATCCCAAGAGGAGAATAAAGGAGAAGGGATTGCAGCGTGGCCATCCCCCCTGGGGGGTGATTTCTCGCTTTCTGTTTCTCTGTCTCTTGCTGTCTCTCTGGCGAGTGCACGTGTCCTGTGGCAAAAACCTCTCCAAAAAAAACAAATTTTTTTAAAAAATTTAATTGTATTTATTCATTCATTTATTTTAATTTGACCAGGGAGAAACACACTGAAAGAGAAGAAGGGAAGTGAGAAAGCAAGCCAGCAGGTCTGGGACTTGAACTGTGGTCAGTCATGTGGGAGTGTCCAGTGCCTTAACCACTATGTCACCTATTGGTCCCCTGCTTTAAATTTTTAATTGGTTTCTCAGCAAATAATAGCATCTAGTCCTAATCTTTTTAACTGTACTCTTTTTGCATTCTTGTTTATAAGGTGTACCTAGTTAATCACTGTTGAGTCTTTTATACATTTTCACTCTTCTTTTCTCTTGCACGTGTTGTTCATTCTGTATCTAAATATTTTTTCTTTCTTCTCTGTCTGGAAAGCCCTTTTTGATTATACTCAGATATCATCTTCCCTTTGTAGACTTCTCTTACTTCCCCAGGCAATGTTAACTAACATTGCTTTCTTCACTATGCTGCCATAGCACTCTGTACATAGTAATCATAACTGGTAGTTGTAAAATTACTGCATTGCAATTGTTTATTTACATGTGTATATTTTCACTGCATTTCACTTGTCCCTTGGGTTATTCATCTTTATGTTTCCTGTACTTAGCTAACATCTGATGTTTAAACTAAATGTGTTATGGAGCAAACACTCTATAGTTACGTTTCTCGTTTTCAGCCAGCTTCACATTATATTGCTGCCGAACAAATGGGGATTATACAAAGTGTATGTGAGAGAGAAAAAGATTTTTTTTCTTTCTACTTGTATAGCAAAAATTATATTGCCCTAAATACTTGATTTGTTTTTATATATTTTTCAAATTTTTGCTGTAGAGAGCAAGAGAAAGTTAAGAAAGCATGCTCATGGGGAGATCGCCACACCACAGTCCCTTTTTCTTCATTCTGCTCTTGGGATTTTGGTCATGCATGCAACTTGGCTGATCCATGACTTTAAAAAAAAAAAAATTAAATAATTCTTTTAAAAAATTAAGTTACATTATCATAAAGAAGACTACATGTATTTGGAGTCATAATTATATATGTCTAGGTTATTCTGATATTATTGTTATATATAAACACATGGTAATGAAATATATTTAGTGTTAATGATGAGCAGTGCCTTCCCAGCAGCTTCCCTTTTATTCATTCAGCACCTATAAATGGCTTCATTTTTCAATCCTCCTCTTATGAAAGGCACATGCATTTGTCAGAGAGATAGGGAAAGGAGAAAGCATCTTCCCCACAGGGAATGATCATGCTGTAATCCCTTCTCTATTCCTTCATCCTGTTGGGATTTGGGGCGTGCATGTGCATATACCTAACATGTTTCTTAAGCGTCCGGATCTAGGACTGTAACTTTGTGGTATTATTTATGTGGAATCTGGCTGCCTTAACCACAAGGCCATGGAACAGGTCTTAAACACATTTTTTTTTAAGAGAGATTTTAACTTTATGGTGGGTGTGTTCACCAGAGAGACAGAGAGAACCAACCCCCCCGCCACCAGTGCATAGCCATGTTTCAATCCCTTCTCCTCCATTCTTCTTTTGAGATTTTGAGTGCGCACACATACACATACACCCTGTGTCCAAGACTCAAACCTCAGCCAACTACGTTGGAGTCCAACAACGTAATCATTATGCTATCTGCTGGTCCCCCAAAAATATTTTTAAATGGAATCCAAAGTCAAATTGCTTCATATATTAGAGTATTATATCAGATCACCGTAAATAAAATGCGAAGATTAGTATCACAACAGTCTTTAATTCAAATACTTTTTAAGTTTTCTTATTTATTTCTTCCATGAGAAAGACAAGCATCTCAAACGTATGTGCATACCACAGTTCACCTCTCGCCTCAGGCAACCTGGATCATAGGCTATACATATGCCCTGTGCGTACAGAGGGCCACAAGACGTGAAGCCAGGACCTTCTTGTGAGTCCAGCATCATAGAGCATTGTATTAACCACTGTGCCACTATTGCTGGTCCCCAGATACATTTCGCTTACATGGGGATAGCAGGTGGCATGGTGGTTAATGTGCTAGCTACTCCCTCACGTTAGACCACAGTTTGAGTCCAAGACCAGGCAGCTTGCTTTTTCACTTTCTCTCTCTGTCTCTGGTCAACTAAAAAGTAATAATAAAATAAATAAAATTAAATTTAAAAATTCTTTAATAAAAGAAAGAAAAAGAAAATCATGCAAGGTGCATGTGCATGCCTGCCTAAAATCCTGAGAGGAAACTGGAGGAGAAGGGATTGTGGTGTGCCTACCCCGCTGGGGATTGATTTCTCACTTTCCCTGTCTCTGTCTCTTTCCAGTGCACACAGGTGTGTGATAGCAAAAGCACAAAAACAGTGATGCTTTAACAATTTAGTAACAACAGAGAATTTATTCAATTATTATATACCTTTTCTTTTTATTCTGTGTCCCCAACTAAATTTGGTGCCATTTCCTGTCATTTTTAATAGCATAATTTATATTCCATATATACAAAATTTTCAGACTGTCTCTTCCCATTCTCTGAAAAGACTTCTTTGAGAATGTATTTTACATGTGTACCTCACTTGCAATACTAATTACGTGCTTAGATGTAGACGTGTGTTATATTCATATATGAATGGCATATATATTTCCAGGTGGCATCTGTCAACAGTAGAATATTGACATAGACTATATTTGATATTTAGCTGAAGAAACTTTTTTCAAAGCTGTTCTCTTCTTTTTTAATCTTTTCCCATTACATTTTTTTTTCCTTCAGAGTAAGATTTAGTGAAATATTTACCAGTATGTTTATTGTTTTGGAAACAGGTATCGATTAAGGAACAAAAAGATCAATGCAACTGTAAGAACGTTTCCTCTTCTAAATAAAGTTGGTGTAAACAACACTGTCACAACCACAGCCGGAAATGTCATTTCTGTCATAGGAAGTACTGAAGCAACGGGGAAAATTGTTCCAAGTACAAATGGAATTTCAAATACAGAAAACAGTGTTTCCCAGCTAATCTCACGTAGTACTGATAGTACATTAAGAGCTTTGGAGACCGTGAAGAAAGTGGGGAAGGTTGGCACTAACGGTCAGAATGCTGCTGGGCCCTCTGCAGAGTCTGTAACTGAAAAGTAGGTATTAGGTTAAAATGACTAATACAAGTTTTTAAAATCTTTTTAGAAATTCTTGAGTATTTTTATTTTTTTCTGCTAAACAGCAGTTAATCAGAATTATCATGCAGGATGTTTCATATAGTAGAAATAGCATTGAATCGTACCAGCAGGTGACGAGTTGGTTAAATCACTGGACTCCCACTCAGTTGATTGCGGTTTGAGTCCTGGATCTGGTGGCTTAAAACTTAGACCAGGTGTGTGTGTGTGTGCATACCCAAAATCCCAAGAGGAGATTGAAGGAAGGGGATTGCAGCATGGCCATCCCTCCTCGGAGGGTTATTTCTCACTTTCTGTCTCTGTCTCTTTCTGTCTCTCCAGTGAGTTTATGTGCCCTATAGCAGTACTCTCTCTCTTAAGATTTTTTAAAAAAAAAAATAAGAAAAATCACTGAATACCCAGAAAATTGAGGTCTGACTTTCTAACTAACTCTGTGAACTTAGAAAATCATTCAGTCCTTGAATTTCATTTTCTTTAATTGCACACTGAAGAGATTAGAATTGAGGGTTTTTTTTATGCCTTATTTTCTTGAACTTTAGGATTGATTCCATAGAGGTGCCATAAAGGAACTAAGTAGCATCCTAAGCAAATGAAATACTGAACCTCTAGCCCTGTTTCAATCAAAGCACTTAGAATTTTTTGTATTGTATAATAAGGTATAATAGTTAAAGAGGAAGGTGTTTGGAGCTAACTCTCTGGGCTCAAATTCTGGCTCATTCTTTCCTGTTTGATTATAGGCCTGTTACTTGATCTGTCTTTTTCAGTTTACTCACTCATAAAATTAGAATTATATTGCTACCTACTTTATATATTGGTTGTAGGATTAAATAATTACCACTACAGTATCCTTTGACAGTGTGTATCCAGGTAGTAAGCACTTGGCAAATACCAGCTTTATTATTAGTATTACTATCATTATTGCTGTTCTTGGATGTGAGCGTAGATTTCATCTGACAAATGGTTATGGTGCCATAACAATAAAGTTTTAAAACTTTCAGATGACTTAAAAAGTTATTCTCAACTCTAAAATCTCACACTTCAATATTCTCTTGGGGTTTATTTGATACCTGATTTAAAGCACATTCAGATTCTGTTGCCCATAGTCTGTTAGTGTTTATTGTATGCCTACTAGAAAAAAAGCATTGCTAGGCACACAGTAAGTTGCTCGAGAGTTCATCTAATTAAGTGATGGATAAGTAAACAACAATATTCTCTGCTTCTGCTATCAGCATGTGATAGGGGAAATGTTTACTAAAAGATTCTTATCCTCCCTGAGAGAGATTTTAGGAAAGATTTATCAGAAGACATTGTATAGTTTATAAATATTACTAAGATGAGATAGGTAGGTTGGTACCAGATTATGGGGACCTTATGTTGTATATTTAGAAAATAAGCTTTTAAAGTGTTTTTGCAACATAAGAGAAAACCGTTTTATAGCCATACAATGGGGTATTATTCAGCCATAAAGGAATGAATTAGTATTACATGCTATAATATAGATGAGCCTTGGAAACATTTTGTAGTGAAAGAAGCCAGATACAAGAGGCCACATATTAAATTATTTTATGTATGGGAAATGTCCAGAATAGGTAAGCATGTGGAGACAAAATCATTTAGCGTTTGCTAGAGACTGAAGCTGGTGTGAGGAATGTGGAGTGAATGCTAATGGATCCAGGTTTCTCCTGAGGGTGTTAAAAATGTTTCAGAATTAGATAGTAGTGATAGTGGGACAACTTTGTGTATATACCAAAAACCACTAACTTGCATACCCTATGAAGAGTGAATTGTATCTCAAGTTAAAAGAAAAAGGACTAGGGAGAAACCTTGAAAATATATAATATATTCATTCAAGTTTCATGTATCACCATCTGTGCCAAACACCAGACCAATTTGTATAGCTAATGAAAGAAACTAGATATATTCCCTGCCTTAAGGATATCCAGTGTAGTTTGAGAGGTAGACATGTAAATAGGTATCATATAATATACTCTGCAAGGTTCCATAATGGAGTTTTGTTCCAGGTATTATTTAACACAGAGAAAAGAATAAGTCATTTTAAGGAGATAGGGTTATTGTAGAAGACTACTTGACACCCAAGCTAGTTCTAAAAGAATGGATAGTGGGGCCAGCAGGTGGCATGGTGGTTGGGGGTGCTGGACTCCCACATGGCCAACCACAATTTTGAGTCCCAGACCTGGTGGCTCGCTTGCTCACTCTCTCTCTCTCTCTCTCTCTCTCTGTCCCTCCCTGGACAAATTAAAATAAATGAATAAATAAATGAAGTTAAGTAAAATAATTCTTTATAAAGAACAAATAATAATGAAGGTAGGTTCTTGTGGATAAAGCAACACAAGCAAAAGCACAGAGGCATGAGAGGCAGAACCTAGATTCCTGAAAGGCATTTAGGATGCAGCTATAATAATAATCTAATTCCCCCCCCCTTTTTTTTAACATTTGACTGAAGATTAGTTTTTTCCCTAATTCTGAAGTTTTAGGATAGCTTGCATGATTTCATGAATCTGTGACTATTTACTTTGTGGATTTTGATTTTTTTCCTGATAAGTCTAAGAATTTGCCATTTTGAAGTACTAATTCAAATTTTATAGTGTATACATTTTGACATGGAAGGTCCAAGTAATTTATGTAAAGCACATAGTATGGTGCCTAGAATGTATTCAATAGCTGTTTAATAAGTGTTAGTTGTTATTATTTTAAAGAAATCCTAATCATTTTTCTGTGTTGCTTCTATTTAAGGTATTTAAAGAGTAAGCTCACCCCTAAACTATCTTTATACTTTAAGCTAGTACATTTGTACCTACTGTTAATACTCACAATTTTGTATTTTCTACATCGTAGTATACAACTACATATAGAAGCAAACACCTGTTAGACTAATTAGCTGTGCCAGATTTAAAGGTAGCCTGTATACCTCGTTATTTATGTGTTAGTTTTTTGTTTTTTGGGTTTTTTTGAGAGAGGTTTTTCTCTATAGGGCGCGTGCGCTTGCCAGCCAGAGAGAGAGAGACATAGAGACAGAAAGTGAGAAATCACCCCCCGGGGGGTGGTCATGCCGCAATCCCTTCTTCTCCATTCTCCTCTCGGGATCTTGGGCACGCAGGCACATGCGCCTGGCGTGAGTTTTAAGCCACCGGGTCCAGGACGTGAACCACGGTCGACTACATGGGAGTCCAGCGACATAGCCATTACACTAACGGCTGGTTCCCTTTATGCGTTAGCTTTGAAAGACCTTTTCTAGATTGAGAAACACCCTCTATCTGGTTGGGATGAAATGTATTGAATTCCTATGTACTTAGCCAGGATTACTTTTTTAAGTCTCCATGTATCTAAAGTTCTGTAACACATTTACTTTTTTTTTAATTATTATTTTATTTAACTTT